GGTGGGGTGATACAATCTGTCCTACTATTTACATTAGTTCCCAAGAGAAGCACTCTTAATGTCAAAGTGATGTTATGATTTTCAAAACAATAATTATAAATGACTCCCAGGTTAATGGCTATTTCAAGAAACACAGCATAAAGTTGTAGAACTACCACAGCCATATTCTATTGCTAATACATATTATTGAAAGTTCCTTTAATTCACCAGATATTCACCAGAATATGACAGGCTCATAGATTGTTCCTTTGTTTTCTCCCCCTTACGTATGCAAAGGCCTGTGTTAATAAAGATCTTTGTAAATCTGCTCATTTTTGAGTATGTTGACGGAATCTGAGGCTGTCGCATTTGTCACTCTGTATGCAAGAAACGGCACACAAGACTGGAGCCAAACATATTTGCACTGCAGAAACAAACAGCAGGGGATTACAGGGTAGTTTTCATATCTTGAGTGTGTTGTTTAGTAGAGTCAGACACTGTAGCTTACCTTCTGCTCGGCTCTGCTATAGTAACGAGGCACTTTTAATAAAAGTTGGCTATTTATGCAGTAGAAACATTTAAAAAAAAGTTTTGCTGTGGCAAAAAAGGTAAGCAAACTTCGACACTCATAATCCACTGGGCTCATTCAGAATATGAGTGAGCAGGGTTACAAAAATGCAGAAGTATGATATGTAGTTTTCACAAAAGCCTAAAAGTCTGTCAAAAGACACATTTTGCGACTTTTGCTGACAAATGAAGACGGATATCTTGGTGCAGGTAACACCGAGTAATACATATTGTTCATTTACTTATATACTAACATTGTGGAAATACAAAGCTGGTTAAAATCAGTCAACTTACCTTTTAAATACTTATTCTTGATACTTATTGTGGGTAAATACTATTGATTTTATATGTAATTTTGTGTGATTGTATATGTATTAAATGTATTGTATTGATTTTATATGTAATTTTTTTTACAACTGTAAACTAAGTTTCTATTTTTGCTCTGTCATCAAAAATAGTTCCAAACTAAGTCAACGCAGAATCAACCATTGCGTGTCTCCAAGCAACACACAGCAGTGATCTTCAATTCCTGAATGAATCTGTGTTTTTTGAGGGGTTAGAAAATGATTCAATGACTTGCTGATAGAGACTTACTTTATCACTTGTCGTCAACTACTGGTATAATATAGTAACTGCAAACTCCCCACCACTACACTGACAGCTTACTATATTTGGAACATACAAACACAGAAAAGCGGAGTCATGCAAACAGTGAAAAGTCCTAGTCCTACTGGACTAAATATCAACACTATTGGAATGCTGTTCGGCCAATCATTAAAAGGAAGGGACTTAATGTTGAATAATAAACAACATTATGTCACAAATGTTTAGAACAGAGATGAACTTATTACATTTGTCACTCTGTATGCAAGAAACGGCACACAAGACTGGAGCCAAACATATTTGCACTGCAGAAACAAACAGCAGGGGATTACAGGGTAGTTTTCATATCTTGAGTGTGTTGTTTAGTAGAGTCAGACACTGTAGCTTACCTTCTGCTCGGCTCTGCTATAGTAACGAGGCACTTTTAATAAAAGTTGGCTATTTATGCAGTAGAAACATTTAAAAAAAAGTTTTGCTGTGGCAAAAAAGGTAAGCAAACTTCGACACTCATAATCCACTGGGCTCATTCAGAATATGAGTGAGCAGGGTTACAAAAATGCAGAAGTATGATATGTAGTTTTCACAAAAGCCTAAAAGTCTGTCAAAAGACACATTTTGCGACTTTTGCTGACAAATGAAGACGGATATCTTGGTGCAGGTAACACCGAGTAATACATATTGTTCATTTACTTATATACTAACATTGTGGAAATACAAAGCTGGTTAAAATCAGTCAACTTACCTTTTAAATACTTATTCTTGATACTTATTGTGGGTAAATACTATTGATTTTATATGTAATTTTGTGTGATTGTATATGTATTAAATGTATTGTATTGATTTTATATGTAATTTTTTTTACAACTGTAAACTAAGTTTCTATTTTTGCTCTGTCATCAAAAATAGTTCCAAACTAAGTCAACGCAGAATCAACCATTGCGTGTCTCCAAGCAACACACAGCAGTGATCTTCAATTCCTGAATGAATCTGTGTTTTTTGAGGGGTTAGAAAATGATTCAATGACTTGCTGATAGAGACTTACTTTATCACTTGTCGTCAACTACTGGTATAATATAGTAACTGCAAACTCCCCACCACTACACTGACAGCTTACTATATTTGGAACATACAAACACAGAAAAGCGGAGTCATGCAAACAGTGAAAAGTCCTAGTCCTACTGGACTAAATATCAACACTATTGGAATGCTGTTCGGCCAATCAGATTAAAAGGAAGGGACTTAATGTTGAATAATAAACAACATTATGTCACAAATGTTGAGAACAGAGATGAACTTATTAAACTCAGAAAATGTAAGCTCCAAGCATAAGTTCAATGTTTGTAAACTCAAGGGTAAAGCTTACCAGAGAAATACATGAGAAAATTTATAATAGCATGTTTATTTTCTTAATATTTATGTTCTCACTACTATTATTAGCCTTTCTTCAGCCCTTTGGGGTTTTTGACACTTACATACAGCTCACTAAAAGCCAGCTACAAAGGGATAATAGCATCATATTCAAA